CAGAGGTATACTTAAATTACTCCAAATAATGATGGCCTCCTGACAGAAATTCATTATTCCTAAAATCCTATAATTTCAACAATCACAGGTGTTGTTTCTTGAGTTGAAGCTGCCTCCAAATGGAGATTTAAATGGTCTGAAGAATAAGAAGACGCTGGGCTACACTAGGAGAGCAGGAGCTCGTATAAAACTTTCTAAACAGTTCAGCACAACCAAGGTATGTTCCAGTCTTTGCATTTTCATAAAAATTTATGGCATGCACTTTTTAAATGCACTCTTTGGTTGTTTCATCAGGATGTTTTAGAGAAGCTCAAGCCATTACATCCTTTACCAGGTGTTATTCTTGAGTGGAGAAGAATCACAAATGCGTTGACAAAAGTGGTTTTCCCCCTGCAACGAGAGAAAAAGTGGCACTCACACCTGAAGATGGACAGAATACATCCAATCTCACAGTCGCACACTGCCACAGGTGCGGAGCATAATGAAAATCCTTTACGTTTTACGTCAGGATTATCTTGATATTTTTTATGTTGTGATGTTTTTCCTCATGTAGGACGTGTGAGCTTCACTGAACCAAACATTCAAAATGTGCCAAAAGATTTTGAAATTCAGATGCCAACACTTATAGAAGAAAGTCAAACGTCACAGAATGGTGGAAGCAAGATGTGGTACATTTCTGCATCGTTTTTCCCCTTTTTATTCTAACAAAATAAGAAAATATATAAACACAATTATGTTTATTTCAGGTGTAAACGAACAAAGATAAACCGACTGTTGGCACCACTTTTAAAAGTTTCAGACAAATCACCAGACAAAGGGATGCAATTCTCTGTCAGCATGAGGCATGCTTTTGTTCCCTTTTCAGGTATGAAACTTCAACATTGAGTTATCTGGATCTATTTAAACATTATTTACGCAACATTAACTTCCCTCTTTTTCAATCTCATCACCCAGGAGGTCTGATATTAGCTGTTGACTACTCACAACTGGAGCTCCGCATCTTAGCTCATCTCTCCCGGGACAGAAGACTCCTCCATGTGCTCAACAGTGGTGCAGATGTGTTTAAAAGCATAGCAGCTGAGTGGAAAATGGTGGACCCTGCTTCAGTTGATGATAACATGAGGCAGCAGGCCAAACAGGTTTGCTATATTTGAACATGCGGTGTAGAGCTGAGACCTGTGGGAGGCTGGTGGAGCAAATGTTAATGAGCGACCTGTGCCACACAGCATCTCCAGAGGGATAAAACAATGAGTAATAACAGTGGAAAGAGGAGGCAAGACGAAGCAAATGATCAACGTAAAGTTTAAGTGATTAGAAAAGGCAGTTCCCGTGGATGGCTCAAGACCTGGAGCAAAAACAAAATTTAGGGTGCTTTCACACCTACACTTTTGTTTCGGAACATATCTCGTTTGCCCAGTTAGCGCGGTTCGATTGGCATATGTGAACAGGGCAATCGTGCTCTGTTCCGCGCCAAAGTAATCGCTCCGAGATCGCTTGAATGAGGTGGTCTCGGCTCGATTGAAACGAACCCTGGAGCGGTTCGATTGCAGTGAGAAAGCGATCCGATCCGAGCGCGGTTATATCACAGTGTTTTATGGATATGTAATAGGCTTACGGCTATATGAAGAGAGAATTATGAGTAGGGCGGGAAGTTTCGCGAGTCTTCGGATGCCCGCAAACGAGTGATGATCTCCCGGTAATCTCGCATCTCCCTCCTGGTCCTCAAATAGGCATCGTCGCGCACCCTTCTCACCCCTCCCCACCGCATCTCTCCTCAAACACGTCGCGCACGTGCACCCTGTCAATCACCACCAAACCACCACCTCTCCTGACAGCTTAGCGGGACACTGCAAAATAAACCCTGACACTCTGACCAATGTGAGGAGAGTTTACTCGCACGTGACTTGTTTTAGCTCTTTTGGTCCGATTAGAAACTTTGCAGTGTGAAAGCCAACCACTCCAAGAGCAAAGAGCAACAATGTAACAATTGTAATCTCTGTTTCGGAACAACTGAATCGATTCACAGGTGTGAAAGCACCCTTAAACTGTACCTTAAAAATCTCCCAGGCCTGTTCCTCTCTCTTCTTCCACTGTCATTACTCCTACTTCTATCCTTCGTAACTCCTCCATGAAAAGTGTTAATGTGTGGCACAGGTGTCGCTCACTGCCATGGGTCTCCTCCAACTCATCAAAATAACTATATTAATAGTTATTGTTTTCACAATACCTGGGCTTCCATCAGTTACTATGCATTTGAAGTATTGCATAAGAATTCCAAATTTCAAATGAAAAAATCGCTAAATTCACACAATTTTTTTTACAGTTGCTGCAAGTGGTTTTTGGACTTGTGCAAAGTAAGGTTACTATAATAAAAGGATCAACCTACGTGACTATTCGGCTGTTTACATCATGCTTGCCTTGTTTGCTGTTGCTTACTAGCTTAAGTCAGCCTCTATAACAACTTGATGGAAATGCAGCTAATTTGCATTTGGGATTTGCATTTCTTTTTAAACTTTGAAAGTATTCCCTTCATGTTATGATGGAAAACTGGCTGTTGATGTTCATAGATTTTAAACTAGTCGATTTTTTTAAAGCACAATTTGTGTGAAATATTAGATATTGTTAGCATCACTTGCATATACTTCGTGATTTTTTGATATTTATTTTTTGTAAATCTTTGCACTTGTGTTAACAGATTTGTTATGGAATAATCTACGGTATGGGTGCAAAGTCACTCGGAGAGCAAATGGGCATTGAGGAGAATGATGCTGCCTGTTACATTGAGACATTTAAATCCAGATACAATGGTAAGTGGCACTTTACATATAAAGTTTGCATCAACCTGAAGCTTTTGCTGTTTTGTGACACAGTTCCTGAAGAAACAGAATATTAAATGAGAAAACAGTGGGCACGGCTTGTTTTTTCTATTAGTAGTAAAGTAGGCATTTCATTCAGAAAGATTGGGAAATAGCTTATCACAACCTAACAGACACCTCCTCCTCACCATTTCTGTTTGCTATCTATGTGCTGTAAAAACTGACAGTTGGAGGGGCGTAACTATGCCTAAAAGATTTCATCTGAGAATTTAACTTAAAACCAACAGGTAGTGCGTTTTCGGATTTTAATTAAAGACTACAATGGCAAGCCTGATTTTTGACAACGGGTGAATTATTCACCACAACACTAGCAATGTGAGATAACAAAATCAAAATTCATAATTTATCATAATTATTGACATTACATTGTTGATTGTTTTGTTCATTAAGGCATACAGAACTTTCTGCGTGAAACTGTGCAAAAGTGTGGGAAAAACGGTTATGTAAAGACATTACTCGGCAGGAAGCGTTTCTTGCCTGGAATTAAAGACTCAAATGTGTACATCAAGTCTCACGTAAGTCTATATGAGCCCTCCATAAAAAAAAAATATATATATCTGGTGTGGAATACGAGTTTAATTTAATCTTTTTCTATTTTTTAGGCAGAGAGACAGGCAGTAAACACAACTGTTCAGGGCTCTGCTGCTGACATTGTGAAATTAGCAACCATCAACATCCAGCGCAGAATAGAAGAAGCGTTTCCTGGAGTGCCCACATCACACCAACACCCTTCAATCAGATTGGGTATGACACTATTTCAAGATTTAAATTTTTGAATAAAGGATAAGTGTGTTCCAACACACTTAAGCTGCGGTCACACTAGAGTTTGCGCTTGTAATATTCTGTAGTACACCACTGCGAAAAGGGGCGGGATTAAACAAGATGATTAGACATTTTAAAAAGCGAGCGATTGGTCCATGTTTCAAATTTCTGTCCAGAGATGTCATGTTTTGATCTTCGATTGGTCTCACACAATCAAGTGATGCGATTTCGTCAGAGTTCACCAAGCATGAACTTTGCAATGCAGCAAACTGCGAAACTTGTCACACAAGCTTGTTTCCGGTCTGACGATTTTGCGTGCAAATGAATGGAAGTCTATGTGGAGAAAAGTGCAGTGTGACCGCAGCTTTAACTGTAGGTACGTCCCAATTTGCATACTTATGCACTACTCCACCATTTTGTAGTATAAAGAGTGTAAGTAGCGGATTCACTCTAAATTGTGGAGTGATGGACACTTCACGACCACTGCTTTGCTCGTAGCAGAAGGGGCAGAGCTAACAAGTGCTCATGTTGGATTACCTTATTTATTTTGGATTGGGAAAGCACAATTCTTTTACAAGAGTGATTATAGTCCCTCCCGACAGTGAATGGGGTATACTCATGGGAGGTATTTTTAGTAGTTTGGACATTTCGGTAATTTGGCAACCATCAGACATCTGGGAATTGGTTTGAATTTCTGCTATGTAAAAAAATATTATCATTCAATTTGGAACGACACTACATATACTATTACTGTTGAGTGTGTAAGTGCATAAGTGGATAAGAGCATGTATAGTGTGCCATTTGGGACGCAGCTTTAGTAGTTTGACATCTGTGATATGTTTTGTTCAGGTGGTCGACACCGAAATCAGTTTAGACCCCTTCGAGGAGGCTACTTTATACTTCAACTGCATGATGAACTCATCTACGAGGTCGCAGAGGAAGATGTCATTCAGGTAATTGGGAAGAAATTTCATTCTGATTGCTACTTTTAGCAGAGAATATAAGTACAGCAGTGACAAATGAAATTTGATCATTTCCACAGGTTGCACAAATTGTGAAGCGAGAAATGGAGTCTGTTGTTAAATTATACGTGAAGCTCAGAGTAAAAGTTAAAGTAGGGCCAAGCTGGGGTAACCTTCAAGACCTGGACATATAAACGTTGCTCTGACTCTTCTGCTGTTTACACATCAATTAGCAATCATGGTTTACAGTAATGAACTCAAACACTAAATGTTTTATTTATAATCATGTTTTTAATCTGAAATGAAACTCTACAATTTAAGTGCAATGTGTAAAGTGCTAAATAGTTTTGTATTTTATCCAAAAAAAGATGTTTATGAATTAAAAAGATCAAACATTAGACATTTTCTCAGAATTTCTTTAATTATTTTAAGAGAGGAAAGTACGGACAGTGCCTTTGACCATTCCTCTACATATGGGGCACTTGCGCAGAGAAGGTGCACACTCTTTGCATACCACTAGGTGACCACAAGGGATGAAGACAATGTTGACCTCCTTGTCCATGCACACTTTGCATGTGCGCTCCTCTTGAAGTCTTCTCAACTGTTCCTCCATAGGCAAATCTGTGAACACAATGAACACCATCGGTCACTTGATACAAACTCTCGCCTCCAGAGTGGGATCTAACTGATTCCCTTAGTGTGATGGCTAGAGATAAAAAAGGGGCAAAATCAAAAGAAAACCTTTTCTCGAGTTGAATATACCTGAAAGATCTTGACTCGGTGATGCAGCTTCATTTGTCTGGGCTGAAATTGCAGTAAGAACAAAAAGTAAAAATTATATGTTGTGATTTAGGTTTGTTGTGGAGTTCTCCCTGCTGATTTCAGGGCGTTCATAAAAGGCATCACCTTGTTTTAAGTGATTCAAGTCTTCCTAGCTACTGGCCTTGTAACTTAACACTGACACAGACTAACAACATGTAACACTGAAAATGTACAGACATTTTCTCTCACATATAACATACCCATCAGTTCTCTCAGCAGGTACACATCGTTCTTCTTGATCCAGTTGCGGAAAACCTCAGCTGCTGCGTTTCCTTTTGAAAGCACTAAATCAATAAGCTGGCCTGTTTGCTGCTTGACTGAAGTGCAGTTGCGAATACTGTCATATTCCTTCTGTGAGATGACATTCTCCTCTAGAAGATGATCCATCAAGCTCTGCACACTTTTTAGCCGCTGACTCAAAGCAGCATGATGTTTCTTAAGGAAAGTAAAACCATCTGTAAAGAAACGCAAGTTAGATTTATTCAAGTTAAACGTTTGAGTTAAGTGCTGGGGTATTTATTTGGAAGAATACCTGAAGCCATTTCTTCAGCAAGCAGCTCTCTCTCCTCCTCTCTCTTCTCATCTTCTGCGCTTAGCAAATCAGACACCAGTTCCTGAACAGTTTTGTAATTCTCTCCACTTGTAAGGATTTTGCTCTGCACAGTCTGCTTCACCAGGCCACGTTCAAATCCCATCTCTAAAGCAGACTTCACCACCGGATTGTTCATCATCACAGCATCTTCTGAACGGTCTTCTCCAGGACCCAGGTGTACAACTAAATAGTAAGTTAACATATTTAATTGGGATGAACAGATTCTTTTAGATATGTAGATTGACTCAGTGGAAAACGACTTACCAGGTGGATCAACAAATTCTCTAGAGTTGCTGTCTCCATTTGTTAAGAGCTGTAAGATAGGTAAAAGTAGTGAGATGTCGATCACAGTGTTTTTAAAACAACTGATAACAATGTTTTTAATTGGGGACACACAATGGATCAGTGGCCATATGTTGTCATTAGCTGTCTAATACCAAAATAAGGCTAATATCTTTAAGCTGATAAATTCTGTATTATATCCAAAGGCTGAACCACCTCTAGGCATGGGACAATAACTGCTTTCAAGGTTTACCGCGGTTTGGAAAAGTCAAGGTTTTAAAACCGGCAAAACTTTGTTATATTGTTCCTTTATGTCAGGGGTGCCCAAACCTTTTCGTATCAAAGGTCAAAAATCAAACATCATTATGATCCCTGGGCCGAAGGTAAATATACAAAACTACATTACATTCTAGTCAAGCAGAATCTGCCTTTGTCTTGATTTGCTCACCAAAGTTTCTGCACTGCAGGGTAACAGTACATTTAAGCGAAATCAGATTGATTTACGCCATTTAATTGAAGCATTTCATTTTTAGATCGCTTTTAACAATAAAACAAAGGGTTTCATTCAATTTGATTTGACAATCTAGAAACATCCTCATTATTCTGTCTCTCTCTCTTCTCTTTTTTTAACTATTTTATTTAGTTTTTTTTAGGGCAACAGCATCTCCAGCCAAAAATGATGCTCTACATCAAAAGCTCCTGTTCCAAAATATTGTAAAAGTTTCTCAAAATGAAATGTATTGTGTTCAATGGGGAAAGTTTTAGTTTTTTACCCAGACATTTAAAAAGAATATATTTTAGAGCAGTAATCATAATAATGTGAAGCCATAATATTTTTATCCAAGGTTATTATACTGTCAGAATTTTGCTGCATCCAACTGTTTTATTATTTACTAGTATTTTGGCTTTGGGTAATGTTTAGCGACTCGGTTGATTTTTATTTTGTCAGGCAGTAGATTTTACACAAGTTGGCCATAGAACAAAAGTTCAGAGATCAGTTCAAACTTTTCTTAAGTTAAAATCAGTGCTATTAACTGTCTTTAGTTTTTGCAGTCATAAAGAAAAATATATATTTTTCAGCTAATATATCAGCCTCTAAATCTACAAAGTTACCGGCTTCTGTCAATCAGTATCATGCTTATCAGTGCATCCCTATTTTTAACATACCTGTTCAAACAGTCTTGGAAATCTTGCTTGAATCTGGTGAACAAACTCTTGGCCCTTTTCTTGCAACAGGTATTCACATCTAGTAAAAAATAAATGCATGTTCACACAATGTCATCAAATAAAATGATCAAATGACTCAAAACCTCACTTAATTACCTTGGAAACCACTTGGCATGTTCGACCCATGGATCATCACCAGACTCCCAACATCTGAGTCCACCATCACAACAAAAACACTTCACGTCATCATTACGACCTACCAAAACAGAATTAAATACTCATGAGCATTAACAAACTTTAGACTTCAGAGTAACATGATGTGTCCGAGACCCTTACCAACATAGTAAAAACCAGCTTTAGCCAACTGATCTGGTCGAACAGGTATTCTGGAAGGCCAGTTTACAAATGTGAGTAGCCTTTCTTCACACTGTTGCATGGCCGAGTTGGAAACATTTGAAAGTCCGCCACCAGATAAAGGGATGTTATCAGCACGATCACCTCGTACGAATCGGCAGTTGGGGTAATGTCTCTGATGCTCAGATACCGCTCGATCTCCTGGTTCCCAACTGCCAAGCTGGCCACCACAACTGAAGCACGCCACCCTGTCACCCTGGCCAAGGTAGTACAAACCAGCTTTGGCAAGCTCGGCTGGTGTAACTGTAGCAAGGGTCCAATTCTGAAAAGTGTCAAGGCGTTCCTGTTCCCGACGCATACCAGGATTGTGACAAGCAGGCGGTCGCTGGTGGGACATATCCTCCACTCCACGAGATGAAATGGGACTGGAGGGAGCCAGGTTGGTGAATCCCATGTTCAGGTAACCCACTTGCTCCTCTGTTTGTCCAGAAGTTGACGGGGCAGTGGTTGACGGGGCTGCAGTCGCAGGGGCGGACAGCTGCAGGACAGCTACATTGCGAAGTGGGGAAAAAGCAGAGTGAGAGGAGGACAGGAGGTTTGCGGTGGCAGGTAAGCTCTGGATGAAGCTGCAGTTGGGGGATAGCTGTTTGTGGCGCTCTGCGGGACAGTCACCAGACTGCCAGTTGTCAGCAGTCACATTGCAGCGGAAACACTGGACACGATCACCCAGTCCAGTGTAATAAAAGCCAGCTCGTGCAAGACTTCTTTCAGTCACCGCTGCGGTGGTGGGGAACTTGGCATATGTTGAAATTCGAAAGAGTTCAGAGGAGTTATCATACTGTAAATCCGCAGGACCACTGGTACGACACAAACCTCTTAAGAAAGCACTGTTTTGTAATATTTCCATTTGAGAAAGAGAAATGGGGAAGGGGATAGCCAGCAGAGAGAAAGGCTTGATTGTCATACCCTGTGTGTGTGCGCACGCATGTAGATGTTAATGATGAACTATGCGAGTAAGACAAACTAGATTACACAACCTTTGAAAACATTTATAAAAAAAAAAAAAAGACTCCTCTTTATGTCCTTACAACACGCCTGGATTACAAAACAGTGGGTTACTCAACTGGGTTTCATCACAGAACCGGTGACATGTGCCCTGAACTAAAACTGCATGAACATAATGTGATGCACAACTTAACGTTTAGATGATCATTCTAGAGACTCTGGAAGCTCAACCTTTATCAATGAGAAATACACCACTATTACACAAACCAAAACACATTTTTAAAAGTGAAGAAGTGCCTTCTTTGAAGTGTAACATATTAGTAAGAAATCTAACATACAAACACTAAAATGTGACCACAGGGTGTATCCATTCAAATCTTTCTCTCTGCTGGACATCCCCTGAATGGGGTCTAGTCGTCCATGGTAGAATACATGACCTTATTAAAAAAATTTATTAAATCTTGAACAAACAGAATGCTGACGTGGGATGTATGTGCTTCCTTCTCCTATGATGCAGGAATCTGGAAAAAACAAAGAGATTTTTTGTTAAATACACAGACCTTAACTGATGTCCTGTTTGAGTTAAAGATGAAAGGTAATAGTTAAACTTCAGTCAACAAGATGCGGTGAATTATTACTGAAAATACTTAGTATAATAAATACTTTTATGAATAGGATTTCGCAACCATTTTCCCTGTTGTAAAATATATTTTTACAAGGACAGAACTCACTTGAAGTAAGTGTATTTAGATTAGATTAGTGGTTTGCTGCAAGGGAGAGATTAAAAATTACAAAAGGTATATATCTTTTTTAAATGATGGGGTTTGATAAACAATTTACAATAAACACTAGAATATTTTCATAATAATTATCAACTTGAATTTCGACAAGGCTGTGATTTATTCTTCAAATCATTCAGGTTAACTTTTAGTATCACTCTACATAATTACAATGACAAAAATTATTTAATGTACACATATCCCATTATCAGTCATAATTAAACAAAATTGTATGTATGCATATATATATATATATATATATATATATATATATATATATATATATATATATATACACATACATACAATTTTGTTTAATTATGACTGATAATGGCATATGTGTACATACATACATATATATATATATATATATATATATATATATATATATATATATATATATATATATATATATATATATATATATATTGGTGTTACCCTCTCAACTCTTATAACTCTTATAACTATATATATATTGCTGTTACCCTTTCAACTCTTAAAAGTTTTGATTATTTTTCCGTGTTTTAAGTCTCACTTCCTCATTCCTTCAACGAATTATTTAACACGTAACTTAGGTTTACCTATGCAATTTCAATCCCGGAAGCCAGACAACATTTAAAACATTGACCTGTTTATACTTCAACCTTTATTTATAGCACCTTGTTACAACCGAAGTAGACCAAAGTTATTTACATCAATATTTTATGGATAATGCAAAAAAACAACAACGTAACGCATTTCCGCTAAATGATGATGACGATTATTCAAATGACAAGCTTAAGTTTCCAACTCTTGTTCTGGTATGTTCTGTCTATTTACATAATTCTACATGTCGAATAAGAAACTGCTCGATATGAGTCATTCCGTCTGCATGCAGACCACGAGTTTGGCCAATGAGTCGGAACCACTGGTAAAATCCCCTATTTGCGGTCAACAGACAGTAAGCACTGCCATTTTCTACCGAGGACTTTGGGTGTTGCATCAGACAGCGAGTTCTTCTGTTTAACGTTAAAGTTAGATGTCAAATAGCAAGACCTACAATCCCGCAACTGCCATTAAACAGTGCCATCTGACAGCAGAATGGTTACAAAACGATCGACTCACCTACGCTAAGAATAAAAACGCATTTTGTTCAACAGCACAAAATGTCCTTTCTTCTGTTCGATCCAGTACGGCTGGTGAAACGGAAATGATGTCATATGCCATTCTTTTATTAGCTTGTTTTTAAATGTAAACATATATATTTATTGTATTTTATTGTGGGTGAAGTAGACCAATGCAACTGTCCATAGCTCGATTTCAACTAAAACAACAAGAGATAAATTACTGATAGAAATGTTCATGGCAATAAACTGGAATTTATGTACGAGATACAATTTATAGAGGAAAAAACCACAACAGAGAACTTGATTAATGATTTGAATACAGAGGAAGTGACTTTTTTCTCTCTTAAGAGATTCGGTTTACAAGGTTAAAATCTGATTATAATGGGGGAAATTAATTTATTTCTATTTTATTTTATTTTCTAAAGGGGGAAATACCCCAAAAAGATTAAATCTTAGGTTTGCCTGTGTTTTTTTTTTTGTTTTGTTTTTGTTTTTTTGCGGGTGAGAACGAAACAAAGCCCCGGAAATGTCCCCCCAAGTACTCACTGCATGGGCGAACCATATATGGTTACGACAGATATTAATGTTATTAACGTCATCTCTCGGACCTCGTCATCAATATATTTTTATATAAAAGTTATATTTTTAATAAATAGTGTACACAATAGACAATAGTGTTAACTTTTTTTATTCATGTTTTTCCACATTAAATACCATAGTAATTTATAGAAAGTAATATATAGTTTTTGAACCACATGGTATATGGTAATTTGTGGTAATTATGGTAGCAACAAATATAGCAATACAGACAAATTAACTTTTAATAATTAATTTAAATACACACAAACACACACACACACACATATATATATATATATATATATATACATACAGATACATACATACATACACACACACACACACATATATATAACATTTGATACAGTTTAGTAAAAGATAGTTTATCATTTTTTACTGTATTCATTTTATATCATTAACTATAGTAATTTATTTTAATGTAACACATTATAGTTTATTTTTTATATTTTATAACAAAACGACATTAAGTATGACAACATTAAGATTCTAAATTAGGCTGCGTCCGAAACCACAAACTTCCATTCTATATAGTACGCTAAAATCAGTATGCGAGCCCAGTAGAATGTACAAATTCACAGAATTTGAAAATCAGTATGCGAGAAGTACCCAGATGACCTACTACTTCCAGCGAGATTCTGAAGTGTGTATTCCAAGCACGCTGCACTATCCTATGATGCCCCACCATAGAATTCATAAATGGGAGTGAAGTGATGCAACTGAGGCAGGTAGGTCACGTCACCAAGACAAAATGGTGGATGTAGCACATTCAAATTCCATTCATAATGCTCATAATGCTTCATACTGTATAGAACGTAATTTTCTAACGGCTGAGTAGTATGTTTAAATTCAAATACAGTACCTACTGAGTATTAGGCGATTTCACAGCCTTAGTTTATTACACTTAATCCTGCAATTAGACAGTCTATTATGTTTTCTTTGTGTATGTGGATACCTGAATAAAGTAATAAGCGTTTTAACTAATTGTTTTTAATTACATAATTTAAGTATCTAAACTGCACAGATGTTAATAATGAAATAATGACTGAAATGGAAAACCCTTGTAAGAGCTGGGTGTACCTCAGAATGGATCCAGTGGACTCAGACACGGCACCAAACAAATCGACGCTGTTTGCACACACACAGCTATTCTCTCAATAAAATCTATGTTAGCCATTTAGCATCAAAGCTAGAGTCACAGGGCAGACAAAAGCTCTGCCCATGACACGAATCCGCTTATATTGTAAAGTGAATTTGACACGCGAATGAAGTGAGTAAACTCAAAATGTTCATGCATCTATTTACGTGTGAATAACGCAATTTATTCACTCGTTACGCGTCTAGTGTGAACACAGCAGAAGAAGCCATATCATTTCACAAAGCACATTTTACAAACATGACTGAAAAAGTGGTATAATGGTAATGTATGTGGTATTTGCACATGCTTTTAGGTTTATCATGTGCAACATTTACTTTAAAAGGCCGTAGTTCACCGAAAAGCTATGCAAACTATAACGCAGAATGATTATTTGCTATTTGACTAGCCCAAGATAATATCACATGCAGTAGTTTGGCAGAGGACTATGGTTTTGTACAGTAAACTCTAGCTGAACACAGGTGCTGGGGCATCACAGCTGATTAAAGAGCTGGCTTTATAGAATAACGTGCATGACAATCACACGCAATTTATCATTCAGCCCTAATTTATAGTAGAAATACACTGACATCTTTTAAAATATGGATACCTACACGTTTTTGAATGTGGCACTCAAAGTATGATGCACTGAGATTAAATAAGAAAGCTTGTAATTAGGCTACAATCAACTCAAACTTTGTTTTTCTGCTTGTGACAAATTAGTTATTAGGGCATTTGCTTAGAACAGGGATTCTCAACCAGTGGGCCACGGCCCACCAGTGGGCCTCAGTGATCCTGCAGTTGGGCCGCAAGATTAAAATTAACTCTCAATATTATACTATAATTTTTGGATTTCATTATTAATATGCTATATTAAAATGATCAAGGTAATGCACTTACTCCTGTTCTCTGATTGATTACTTCAAACTCGGCGCCAAACAGCCTCATGAATCGCTTCTGCAACTAGCACACATAAGTCTGTTCATTCACAAAATAATATTATGCATGAAGTGAAAGTGTCTCTTTGTGTATTTTTGTGTAAACTATTAATTATATCCGCATAATTGTCCAAATTAATGTCCTGTAAATGTTTTATAAAGGACGAGCACCAAGCAAGGCCTAATGGTGTTTGTCATAGAATGTAAAATAAACTTGCGTATGAGCTTAGGACACGCGCAGGTGGAGCTGTTCACTCCTGTCTGCCAACTTCCAATAATATCCAGCTGCCATCAGATCGACCCATTACAACGTTTAGTGGATTTTATTTTACATTTGGCTGTATATTTTTAAATGGTAGATATTTAATAGTAGATATTCAGTCAGTCCAGTTTCAAGCAGAAGCTGGTCTTTTGCAATCTCCCTGTTGACCTGTGATTCTCTTTGAATCTGTGCATGTTTAAAAATTATATTTCATAAAATGCTGATAATAGAAAATAAAAGAAGGCACAACAAATGTATAATATATATTTGTTATTATAATATAATATACCATAATATAATATTTGTTAATAAATAAAGGTTTAAACAAGCTTTTCATACAAAGATTTTAGAGAAAATGTCAGACATGTGGATCTTGATCGGAATTGATCAGAGAAAGAAGTGGGCCCCGCAGTGAAAAAGGTTGAAAACTCCTGGCTTAGAAGACCAATCACTCCGATTTGTATAACAACGGGCCAATAAAAAGCCTGTGAAATTGGTGAATCTGTAATTACAAGCAAGTAATGTGCATTCATATAATGCATTTATTGTGTATTAATTTGCACCCAAAGCACTTTAAAATCATTTCACACCACCACCAGTGTACAGCATCCACCTGAATGATGCAACGGCAGCCAGAGGACAATGGCATCAGTGCGCTAACCACACACCAGCTGCAGGCGAAAAGGACAGACAATGATGGAGCCAGTTCAGTGAATGGGGATGATTGAGAGGCCATGATGGTAAGGGCCGGGCTGCATGCTGGCACAGTGGGTAGCACGTTCGCCTCACAGCAAGAAGGTCGCCGGGTCAGTTGCCGTTTCTGTGAGGAGTTTGCATGTTCTCCCTGGTTTCGCGTGGGTTTCCTCTGGGTGCTCCGGTTTCCCCCACAAGTCCAAAGACGTGTGGTATAGGTGAATTGGGTAGGCTAATTTGTCTGTAGTGTATGTGTGTAAATGTTTCCCAGTAATGGGTTGCAGCTGGAAGGGCATCAGCTGCATAAAAAAATATGCTGGATAAGTTGACGATTTATTCTGCTGTGGCGACCCCAGATTAATAAAGGGACTACGCTGATGAATGAATGAATGAATGAATGTTAAGGGCTGAGGGATGGAATTCAGCCAGGAATTTACAAGTAGCCTCATGGCATATTTAATGACCACAGAGAATTAGCACCTTCGTTTAACGTCTCATCCGAAAGACGGTGCTTACTGACACCATAGTGTCAGTGTCCCCATTACTATACTGAGACATTAGGACCCACACAGAGCACAGAGTGAGCACCCCATGCTGACCTCACTAACACCACTTTCAACAACAACCTAGTTCCCACCTGGTCTCCCATACAGGAACTGACCAGGCTCAGCCCTGTTTAGCTTCAGAGAGCAACTGGTCTTCAACTGCAGGATTATATGAGTGTGGCCACAGCCCTGCACAGCTTTAACGCTATTTTAAACACACCTGATGAAGTGGCGTCCTTTAAGCTTGTTTGAAACCTACTGGTATGTTGAAGCCAGGGCTAAGTTGAGTCCAGCAACTGAGTTTGACAGCCCAGTGTTATGCATTTAGGGCAATGTATACCAAGCAGAGTGTAAGCACCACCAAATTTGTAACCATCCAACGCCTCAATTACTAGAATATGGGACTGGCTCAATTGCTTTCTTCGCCGGAGGAATAGCAATCTCCTCTTGCAAGACAGGGCCAGCTTTAATTAGCACAGTAAAAATACACACCCTTAAAATTGAAAACTCGTCTGGCAATATACACTGCAAATCAGAGTTGTAATTGTCAGTGTAGGCCAGTGAGATGTGCTAAGCAGCACTAACCAAGTTGACAGAGCACATAAAGGTTGATCCAGTGAAGTGATCACTGACACAGTGGTGGGGCAGCAAGCCGGAGTGACAGCACTTTCATGAGGCGAGCTCCAAATGGCAAGTGGGCCGATGACAATGCATGTGTAGACACCAAAATTGGACACCTTTAATGGGGAGCAACCTGCCAATGTGTGGCTTAGCAGTACTTTTCAGGCCTGGTTGATGAGTTCCACCTCCTAGACTGCTTCTGTATTACTGAGAACTCCTGGGCAAAGTCCTCAGGTGGAGATGCTCTGTGGACAGTAGTCCTGCTACTCCGGGATGGCTGCCTATCCTCGAGGACGGTGGGGAAGAGGAGCTTGAGGTTCGGGGAGTAAAAGGTGCCTTCCATGCCTGTGTGACCTCCTTATGCACCTCTGAGAGGAAGAAGAAAATCAGAATAGTCAGCTGTTGAGCACTGCTTTATTATCATCTTCAGAGCTGCTGCAAAATGGAGTCAAATAAGGAAAGAAGGAAAAAAAGCTCTCAGCACAAAGTGGAGCAAAAATTGTACTTTTCCATTTTTGAGCAGTGGAGGTGGAAAAAACCCACGATGACTAAAGTGAGCTGTTAATCTTGAACATCATATTACATTCATAATCCACCTTATACTCTTTACTATCGATGAAGAATTTGTCTGCTTTTCCATATTTTTGTCTGGGTGGATCAGCCTTTAGTCAAAGGGGAGTAGTCCTTAACTTTATGTAGCATTGCCACTGCACCGTACAGGCAAACTGTTGGGTCAGTTTCTTACTTCTGTCATCATCGGTTGCTTTTAGTCACAGATTGTTTTCACCCAACTAATTAATTAACTGCTGTAATTATTGTGTGACATTGTTTGTCACTGTTTTTTCACAGCATTCTAAATTAAATCCAACTGTGTTTGTTGTTGTTTGTCTGTGCTTTCTGAATTGGCTTTTACACCGCTGAGACGTCTCTTTCTTCACCTCTCAAGGCTAATTTTTATTTCTACATCAATTGATAGCCATAACACACACTGCAAGCCCTGCACGTAGCAGTGCATTTATACTTCTGTGTTCGGTTTGTGTTGCTCTGACAATAACACTTCCAAAACGCTAGCAGGCAGTGAAGTTTCTATAGCTCCGAAGGATGCATTCGAAGTGCGCTGCGTCTTCATTTTAAAAAAAAATCAAAGCCTTCTACAAACGTAGCCTCCAAATGCGTCCTTTGTTTCCCAGGTAATGAAGGACAGAACCGGTGGATCCTTTGCGGCCTAGAATGTCCCAAGATTCATTGTGCGCTAATAATGGCAGGACGTTTTTAAAAGAAAACTCTGGTTTAAATGTATGAATTAGGTTTATTTCACGTGGATATGTAAACAGATGTTTAAAAAAACAGAAAGGGAGTTTGACATGTCTTATGAAAGAGTGATTTTATAGACAGTTTACATGTTTATGTGTACATGTATGGATCAAAGGAAATGTATTTCCAGCTTTTATAAACCTTGCTTTGCCTTTAGATTGCTTAAAATAAAGTTTTAAAATCACTTTGAAAAAGTCATGAATTTTTTTATTACCGCTTATTACAGGAGCTGTAATGCTGTGTTCACACCAGATGCGGAAGGCGCATCAAGCGCGAGAGATTTACATGTTAGGTAAATGCAAACACGCGAATAGACATCCTGCGGCACGATACGCGCGAATGACGCGAATTGCGCGGAGCGAATGGCACGGCACGAAATTGAGCATATCGCGCGAATCGCTCAAATGTAAAAAAAAATCTGAACTTAAGCACACATTCGCGCAGCATTAACCAATCAGGAGTTTGCTCTTGTGAGGGCGTGATTGTGACGTTGAGCCTGTTTTTGGTGTCCAGGGGAAAATTCTCCAGCTGACATCGACAATAGTGCATCAAACTGGGCCTGGCTCAGTCAGAAGCCCATCATCCTCCATAATCCAGGTTAAGTTTCTGGAGAAGTTTATGAGCTCATGAAGCTAGAAGCACCTCTGAAGGGATCTCAACGCTGTTTTTCAGCCTTCATAAAGCACATAAACACAGTTATTTTCTCATTAAAATCCATGTTAGCTATTTAGCAGCAAAACTAGAGTCACCGGGTAGACAGAAGCCCTGCCCTTCACGCGAATCCGCTTCTGTTCTGAAGTTAATTTGACGAAATGAAATGAATAATTCGCACGAATGAAGCGGATTTGACTCGCGAATGAAGGGGGGTTTGACACGCGAATGAAGCGAGTAAACTCAAATGTTCACGCGGCAATTTACGCGCAAATATCACAGCATTACGGTTGTCAGGTGACGAGATCTGTCCTCTGTAGGCTAGATCGTCTCATTTCAAAATGCTTGGTTCGACCTGTGTGGACTTCGAAGGATTCACCTTTGAAGTCTGCATCCTTCGGAGGATGCAGCACCTGAAATGAGACTGAGTTCATGTTCCTCTTTATCAAATTTCTTCATGGGTTATACCGGAGGGTTATTTCTTCATTATACCGGAAATACCCTGAGGAAACCAACGCCAACATGGGGAGAACATGCAAACTCCACACAGAAATGCCAACTGACCCAGCCGAGGCTCAAACCAGCATCCTTCTTGCTGTAAGGCAAGTGCTGCCCTGCCCCCGGTGGACATGTTACAACTTTATTCATGAAATAATCAAAAAACAAAAGTATCCATTTGGAGCTCCTCAACAGGACTTCACACTTGTTGAAACACTAGCACCAACAGGCTCACTCCTCTCCCGCGTCTCTTGGTTCCACCCACACTCATCAATGCTACCAAGCCAACCAATCACAAAGCTTGGGTCGTTGGGACGTGTGGTTACATTTTTTTGAGAGGTGCGCATCAGGGTTGGTGACAGCTACCTTGCAAGTATGGCTGCGTCTGAAATTGCATACTTCCATACTATATAGTACGCAAAAAACAGTATGCAAGCTGAGTAATATGTCCAAATTCACATGTGAGAAGTACCCGGATTACTTCCATTGAGATTATGAAGTGCACATCTGATGGACGCTACATTACCCCATGATGCCACGCTTGAGAATTTATTAATGGGAGCAAAGTGACACAACTGACACAGGTAGGTCACGTGAGTTCCATTCATACTACTCACATTTATACTGTATAGGATGTACTTTTCTAATGGCCGAGTAGTAAATTCAAATAGTAGTTGCCGATTTTGGACACAAGTCTTATATACTCCTAATTGGAAAAGTGGCTGCACATGCGCCAGTTACACCAATTTCATAATCAATGAATTTCATACAAATCAGACCGATTAATCTTCTAAATCCACCTTTGCACTGCACACGACAAGTGATAGTCCAGAATTCATTCATTTCCATTGAAGAGTATACCAGAAGCTGCATGGAGTTCTGATCTTCGTAGGCTATGTGGAAAATTTGAGCTGCGGATCTGTTAAAATATTTGAATTTCTGCGACTAGACCATATGTGACAGTATGTAGGGAGTCAACGGATCGTTCCAGAACCGAACAAGTCACAGACTATATTTTTCTTAAAAGATTGGTTGGTGCCTACATGTCTGAGCTTTGATTTCATTTTCAAAGCAATCCACAGTCACCCAGCAAAAGGCAATCCACAGGATGACTAGCCAGTCAACATCACAGTTGCGTGTTAATTAACTTTACACCTTAAAACAATAAGAGGCTCTACAATCAAAAACCCACCAAACCGTTTTTTGAGAAGTACCTTTTGGTTTGCGTGTCCTTTGGCGTCTGCAAGGAATACACATTCTCAGGCAAACACAGAAGCGATCAGAAACACTTCCAAAGTTTAATGGACATTTAAGTAAAACAGTTTATTTGAGTAATGTACGTTTGCTTTATGTTTCTGTAGGTTTTTGTGTGTACATGTTCCATGTGTTTAACAAAACTGTTATGGATAGTTATTAGCCCCTTTCACACATACAGACCTTTCCGGAAAATTACCGGCAATTTTCCGGAAAGGTTGTATGTGTGAACAGGTCCTTTTTGAAAATACCGGTAAATTCGTTCTGGCTATTTTCCGGAAAGAGAAGTTGTAACATTACCGGCAATTTGCCGGAATGCTGCGCTGTGTGAACGCAGAAGGAAGATTTCCGGAATAAGCTCGTGCACGTCTAGAACGTGCTGACGTAAGACTTCTGCTTTAGCCAATCACAACAGTCAGACGCATTTACGTCCGCGCGGTTTGTGAGAATAAAAGCCTTTGAATATTTTTCCAGACACATTTAGCTGCTAGAAGTTAGTCAGATAACGTTTATATGTTCTTCTTAATGCCAACTGTGCAAATAATCATCGATAAGATGCTTATGATAAGCCGTTGTTTGTTTACCTTCAAGCTTTGCGTGTGCCCATGAAACAGCCTGTGAGCGTCAGCACACACACATATTATGAACATCTCGACATGCGAATATGATCCAGTGAAAGTTGTTTACAATATTGATCATCAAAAGAGTTTGTAATTTAGTCAAATGTTTACAAATACAAGCGCAGCCGTTTAAAGCTCATTTGTAGTGAATGATGTCAGAATTTACCGGTATTTTGGAATGGATGTGTGAATGCTCTTTTCCGGAAAATTTCCGTAACGTCCTCGCCTGTGTGAACAGCGCTTTTTTGAATATACAGGTAAAGTCGTTCCGGAAATTTTCCGGATATTTACCGGTATCACTGTGTGAAAGGGGCTACTGAGTAATAGCCCTCAGCGACAAATGAAATCTACAGAATGTTTGTGAAATACTTCATGTTTGGTATCGATTGAAAGCTAGGAACATTTCAAATGCATTGGTTTATATGAAGAAACCATACTATGAAGTGTCGATGTTATAAGACTTTATTTTAACCACTATGCTATCAAAGCAGCACCCACACCAGGTGTCAACCCGGCCTCCTAGAGGGCAGAATTGGGGTGTGACTCCACCCCGCACCTTATCTGATTGGACAAGTATTGTGTAGACCCAGCCTCTACCAAAGCTTATAAAACTTTGAACAAAGGAATTTCATCGTCGTCTTTTGCCGGTCATCTTTGCCAGTCGTCACCGCCGTCGCTGCCCGGACGTCGCTCTTCTCGTGCTGTGGCCGTTACATCGCCTCGCCGGAAGCCTCGTTATATCACGGAGTAGACCGCAACCTTCTGTTGCTGCCGGCTTGACCCCCGATCTGCTTGTGCAACCGCTTCAACAACAAGCCATCGGGTCAACACATTCAAACTCTGAAACTCATCGTAACTACAGAAACCCAGGAAGGACTTCGAACGCCGCCTTGTCCAACATCCGTATCCCTAGCAACCGACTAAAGAAACCCCTCTTCACCGACAAGGGAATTCCATCACGTCACTGAAGTTGCTACGCTGACCAATCAGCTTCGCCGGGATTTCCCTTTGGACCAGTTGAGGAAACCAAAATTCCATCAGAACCCAAGTAGCACAAACGAGGTTTCTATCCATTGCTGACACTGGTGTGAATTATGTTTTAGTAAAGAATAGCAAAATTCTCTGCTTTTATGGTTTCTCTCAGGTTGCAATGCTAAGAACATAGAAAAGGCTAGAAGTTGAATCCACTCAGTCAAAACTCTCCTCAAACTGTTTGTGCGTGTGTGTATGTATGTGCGTTTGTTTGTTTTACGTAGATTAGTACTTTTGTGTTATAGAGTAGCAATAAACTTTTGTTTCGTTTTAAGATCCGTGTTGGTGTGTTGTGTGCTTTATAAGTTAATGCCTCAGCTTCAGATACTGCTACCTTGCTCATTAAATAATTAGATACTGTTTTTATATTGTTATTGTTGGCCACGTAATAATATAATACAGAATTGCTTTACACTAAACGTTCTATTTGCTGGAAAAATACTAAAGTTAAGTGTAAGCTTTAAATAATTCTATGTGAATCATGTTCGAATCTTTGATTCGAATCCCCAAAGTTTAAACATGATTTAAACCAAAGAGCTGATTCTTACAAGTATGACCGGATGTGATGTATTCCAGATCTCTCTCTCTCTGTGTGTGTGTGTGTGTGTGTGTGTGATGAGAATTACTACTAGTTTAAAAAATATATATATTAAAAAACACATTTATGTTTATAAATTAGTAATAAAAATAGTATTTTTAAATGCTGTTTTCACATACCCTCCAAAATATTTAGCAATCTATGAATTTGAAAGGCTCTTGCTTTCATTAAATAGTATGTAGAAAAAAAGATGAGATTTTACCACATAATTTTTAAATTGTGAAATAATTCCATACAATAAAATGTACTTTCAGTGTGTATTTTCTATTTCATTTAAATGACCTACCAGTTTTAAGGAAACACCACAGCATAAAGAACTAACCTACATAAAGAACTAAAATAAGGTTTAAGGTACATGATTAAATTAAATATAAATGAAAAACGACCTCCTCTTGTCTTAGTAGTTGTCTTGTTTGTCCCACTTCTGTGATCATAACCAGTGACAACAAACAAAAATTTGTAAAAGTTGCCACTTAACACTTATTTAAGTTATTTAAGTTGTGTTTGGTATACATTACTGTTTGCCTAAAGCTCCAGTATGTTATGGACAGTGCCTCCTATTAAGAAAAAAAGTCTAAAATGAATAGTATTTTTTTTGACTCACCGGTAAAGATGAAGGTAGAAAATCCTTCAAATGTAAGGCAGAATCACCAATGTTTCTTTAATCTAACCAGAAGGCGTTATTTTCGTAAGCTTTAAACGATGTGGAGTATCTGGTACTTTCCAGCGTGACGTACTTCCGCAATGACTCGTGGGAAACTGGGAAATGTAGTTGTAGTGATGAGGAAATTCCATTGAAAATTTATCGGATATGGTTGCGGCCGGAGGTTAACGAGAATTATTTATATTTTCTAGTATATTTACCATTTGTTGTATTTTATTAACGTCTTCCCCTACCCAAAACCCAACCGTCACAGTAACGTAAAAACAGTAGTTGTAGTACCGAGTATTATTTATGCTATCTATTAAATTAACTAATAAATTGTATTTTTAACGCCTACCCCCACCCTTATCGTCACAGTACTGTAAAAAATGCTGCTATATTTGTGTGCATATAGCACTTAATTCCGGCCGGCGCCGTATTCGATCTAGACCCGCCACACCTGAACAAGCATTTCTGTGTCAAGTTTGTATGTGTGTCATACTTAGGCAAGTAACGTGCCTTTAAATATCCTTTGTTAAAATCTCAAAGTGTGTGGGAAAATATGTCACAAAATGTCAGTGAGACATTTATGTAAAAATGAAAACCTTTATTCTGACTCATAAAAGGCATCAATAAGTGATAATATACAGTTAATACATTTTTGATTACCAATTAGTAGGGCCAGACGGAATCTGCGGACGTTTTTTGCTATTTCTGCGGAGAATTTTGGTATAAATCTGCGAATTTCTGCGGAATTATTTTGGGAGTATTATAACTAAACCTTAATATATGAAATAAAAATATTATCTTTTAAACTTTTATTTAATGTTTAAAATGCAAATCCAATTAGATTCACTTTATTTGGTAAATAAGTTTGTCATATAATATATCTACTAAAAGACAGAAAATCTTACTGCATAAAATATAAACTGCATTGTACATAAATCAGATGAACATTTTCACATTAGTCAATAATATTACTGACATTAATAAAAAAAAAAACAGAATAAATATAGATTTACACACATTCATTTAAGTAAATAAACAGAAAATCAAATAATTCTTGTTCTAAATATGCCTGAAAGTTTTGGTTTACAAATTGTTGTTAAATACATTTTAGTGTCTCCTGTAAATTATGGTACAAAAAATTTATACAAAAATCAAGTCAAATCACACAGGACATATATAGACAGAGATGAACAATCAAAATGTCTTCCACTTTTTTTCATCTTTGACCCATCGGTCACAAAAACGGAGACTAAATTAACCACTTGAAAAGAATTGAACACTTTATTGTTTCAAGCACATTAAACAAAACAAAACTGAGCTTGCTAAATTATATTCTTATTCTAGAAACAATATGATGATGCTGACCAAATTTTAATTTTGATTTGAACAATTGATTTTTAATAAATGTTCTCCTCACCTGGTTGATACGCGTAGGTGGAAAAAGCGTACTGTCTAATTTTAATGTCAGTGTTTTATATAGATCTAGATTGAGAGCGCTCAATTCCCTGAAAAATCCCCTATACCAAATGAATGGAACAAAACATACACATGCCTTTTACAAGGATCAATACAGAGGTAAGCAAATGTCTGCTTGTTTTCTGTAGCAGATGGGTAGCACAATCCACTGTGATCCTACAAAAAAGATATCATTAATAGAAGAAAAAAATGCTGACTGCATCTTTAGAGTTAACCGTGCACAAGAAAAGAATTAAGGTACATACATAAGCTGAAACTTTTAAAACTGTTGTGACCACATTGATCTCTTTTGTATCAGTATCCTTCTGAACACTGGAAGACACAAATCAGATAATCATTAAATACTGATAAGGTATCATGCATGACCAAAATATCACTTAAATAACACTATAAGTAGTTTGCTTATATATTTGAGTAATATTTAGTTTTTTATTTATTTTAGAAACACATTATTATAAACTACAAAAATGCAACATCAGTTTTTCACCTGACCAAGTCTTTGTACATTATTTTCACGGTCTCAATGTAAGGATCGATGACATCTTCATATTGGCAAAGTTCACCACCCAATACCATATGTTTGAACAGCCGGAACAAAAACTCCTGACGATCACTGGGGCTGATTATATGATGATATTCAGAGTCTGCTTCAAGCAAAAGCTGCAAAAACCAGGCCAAAAAACAGCTAAGTTTAGTGTTTGTTCAGTTTAAATGAACTCTTGTTTAAACCTTTGAATAATAATAGTAAAAATAATAGTTTGATCAGACATTAAATGCAAAACCACACAATTGCAACTTAATAATAAAAATAAAAGTAAAAATGATGTAAAATTCAGACAAATGTCTTTATATTAAATATCATGTATGAAGTTAAACATAGTTACATTTTCTAGAATTATGGCCAATAAAGAAATTTGTGTCTGTAAAAGCTACCTAAATATGTGAAATTGTGACATTGAAGAGTTGACAGGAAAGACGTGTAACTTTATGTGTAAGAGTAACTTATTTTGGGTTTATCCCCTTTCATGTTTTCTACAGTTTTGCTTTTAGTCAGGGAGTGTGGTAAGACGTCTTTTTATTTTGTAATTGGGAATTTACAAATTTTGTTTGTTATTTAGGCCTTACGGGGTGATGCGGTGGCGCAGTGGGTAGCACATTCGCGTCACAGCAAGAAGGTCACTGGTTCGAGCCTTGGCTGAGTCAGTTGGCATTTCTGTGTGGAGTTTGCATGTTCTCCACATGTTCGTGTGGGTTTCCTCTGGGTGCTCCGGTTTCCCACACAAGTCCAAAGACATGCGGTACAGGTGAATTGGCAGTTAAAACTGACCATGTGTGTAAGTGAGTTTGTATGGATGTTTCCCAGTGATGGGTTGCAGCTGGAAGGGCATCCGCTGCATAAAACATGTTCTGGATAAGTTGGCGGTTCATTCTGCTTTGGCGACCCCAAATTATTAAAAAGACTAAGCCGAAAAGAAAGTGAATAAATGAATGAATTTTGGCCTTACTCTCTCCGGATGATTTGGCTATTTAAGTATTGTTTAAACTCTTTTAATATTTAAAAAGACTGGCTTTGCTAAGCCATAAATAAAAGCTACATTTTTCTGAAATCTTTATCTCAATTTCTCTGTTTTTTCCCTTATATTTTTTAAGAGAAAGATGTTGTGAGGCTGGGATAAAGGAAAAGGAGATTTCTCAGTGCACTTTATGAAATATTAGTTCATTATTATTATTATTACTTTTTAATCTTACAAATTTAATTTCATAGTTTTTATTTTGTTACCTTCTCTCTGAAGCCCTAGAAAAGGAGCAGACTATAACAACCATCAACATGTAATTCTCTAATACCTAAATAGCTAGGTCCGTCAAGTTTTAGGGTCCTCTTGAAACATTTCCTTAAATAATACCCTTGGATAGCATCTATAAAAATATTTGAAGATAAAATAATTCATACCATCCGTAGCTCATCAAAGTCAGGATATATTTCATGGTAACATTTGACAATGTGTCCGGAGGGACGCAAAATTCCATTTGAGTAAATTGGATCGAATATATCCACTGAAACTTTTGTACATGGGACAACTTCAACATTTACATGTGTTATGTCTCCTGTAAATGGGTAAAAAGACAATAATAGGCTTTATTGAAGTGTATAAGAAGTTAACATAAAACATTGAAAATAAATTCCACTGTGAGTATACTTTATCAGAAATACGTAATAACATACCCAGCCGTGTCCATGATCCGGTGGGATCAAGGACATTTAAATTGTGCTTCACGCATGGATCTTGAAAGAAATTCTAAAAGAAATAATGTACACATGTGCTATTCAATGCTGCGGTGACACTAAATGGCGAAATTAACGAGATAGTTCACCAAAAATTACAAATTCCCATCATTTACCTGTTTGTGTGTTGAACATAAAAGATGATATTTTGAAAAATTCTGAAAAACCACTGACTTTCATAGTATTTGTTTTTACTGCTATAGAAGTCAATGGTTACAGGTTTTTTACATTTTCTAAAAATATATTTTGCGAATAATAGACAATAAAAACCATTCAAGGAATCGAGGGTGAGAAACTGTATATTTTTAAGTGAACTATCCTTTTTTTGTGTAACTATTTACCCAGGCAAAGTCATTGCTTCTATAAGGCTGGAAAGATTGATCAAAGTTGAAGGCTTGTGCTGTAATTCGACCCAGCATGGACCTAAAAGACAATTGGAAACATAATTAACAAAAAATGCAACATCACAAAAAGATGGGTAAGATCTTCTTTTAGAATTTGTCATTGACCATTTCATAAGAGAAACCTTTTTTCAGTGTTATTGCAGTTTCTGCAAGATATCCAAATGCTGATAAAACACTTCAGCAGCATTTAAATTTAAAGAATTTATTTTAAAAGTAGAACATTAAGATGAATTTAATCTGAAACTCATTTCAGGAGTCAAGGGAATTAATGCTGTTTCGTCTGTATAGGATTTTGATCCTTAATGCCCTATAACCATTGACCTATTTTGTAAATCTTTTTAATCTTCTTTTAATACTCTACTAAAGAAAGAAAACAGCAACACTCGAATCTTGGATGGCCTAATGTGGGTAAGTAAATTACCTGTAATAGCAAACAAAATTTTAGTTAACCTAATTGACATTTAAAAAAAAAAACACAGGAAAGTACCTTACAAATTTGATGACTCAAAACACCTACACCAACTTTAGGACAACATATGTGTTATGTTAAGCACATTTCATGGACTAATTACGTGAACAATGCTTATAAGTGTATTTATTTGAAGCAAAAAAATAAAATAAAATAAGCTTTTTTCTGTACAGTAGTAAACTGTGAAAGTAAAACTATATTATATGACTATATTTTTTATAAATAGGCTAGAATCATCGTTTGTGGGAGGGCAAATGTGTTTTATTTAATTAAGTCACTAAAGGCTCATTCTGAGATAAGTTGCACAGTTTTCGCTTTTGTAACGGATGAACATATGTCGTTTTATAAATCTTACTAAATGTCCTGCCCATTAATAAAGTGTAAATTTGGCACTGATAATATATTTAATCTAAGTTTAAAAATATTAAGATGAACTGGGACGCCAAAAATTATATTTTTAGCAAACATGTTTACAGACACACAATTAAACGTCTGTTGTCGAGTGAATTTAGTTAAACCGTACAAACACATCACACACTTACCATTTCATCAGAAGTCGCGATGTTTTAGGGTCTTCCTGAAAATTAAAGCTTTTCGTGGAAAGCAGATTAAAGTTAAACGTTTGTTCAAATGAAAGTTTCTCCTCCGCCATGATGCCTATTGTTGTTGTTACCATGACAACTAAAAAAGAGTCTCTCGTCTGGGGGAGAAAAAAGGTCCATCAAGCAAACGTTTTAGGCTTTAGAGCGATGCTTGTGCCTGTGAAGTGACATTTGACTTCTCAGTAAGTCCAACAAAAATTACGTTTGGGATTTTATGAGTCAGATACTGATAAGTCATATTTCTAGACGCTATCAATAACACTATTTATAGAGTTGCAATAGCACCTCTCATTTGGTTACTTTTACGTTGTGATAATTTTAGAATTACTCATAGTCGTAGGTGTTTATGATTTCATTTCAAAAAGTTTTGTAGACGTATTGCATTAAAAAAATAGACATAAAAGAGTCATATCTTTTTTTCATATCTATAAAAAAGAAGTGAAATTAGAAATGAATATGAACAACACCCATGCTGGCTTATCTCTTTACGTTACCTGTGCAATACAGCAAGCAGTCATATGTTTTGGTCATCCAGTGTTTTATAATGGGCATATTGCATACTCAACAGAACTGTCTAATATCTAACAGATGTGTTCTTGAGGAGAGCTGAAGGACATTGAATCCCTTTTCACCATGACCAAAAATTCTGCAAAGCATGCTATATGTATGGTGCAAATCACTTATGGCTATACATTTGAGATTACCTATGCAGCTTGCAGTGCTTTATAGTAGCCTACTTTTTAACTGTTTGAATGATGGGAATCATACTCATAAGGCTTTGCTAGTGCCATTCTTTACAAGCTAAGCTACAGGGAGCGAATTGGACAAATGGCTCATTACAAACAAGAACGTATTTTGCCAGTCCTAGTGTTGTGAAGGTAATCCATCTTAGTTTTCCTGCTGTCAGGTCCAGGATCGACTGTGTTTCTGGAAGGAATTTCATTTACGTATGCTGCTTTGGGTCCTGTTGATTCCCACCTCAACCAAAAGCAGTGTCACATTTCAGCATCTGGTTTTCATAGCCAATACAGGATGTTGTTGAAATGCAATAAAGTAACAGTAGTTTAGAAATGAGACAGAATTAGTCTGGACACTTTTTGTTCAGGTGAGAACTGTTGTTTGTCTTTTTTTGTGAGGTTTAATTTTTTTTCTTTTTTTTCTGTCCAGGCAGACCAGCCCACAAGACAACACAGAAGACGATGTCCATCTCTTTGGAAAGTGCACGTCTGCACACTGTCACATGTGGGACTGCTACATACACCAGGATGATCTGGATCACTTTATTTCTGCCTCTTCTTGCATCATTAACTGTGGTGAGTGCTATAAATGTTTCCTGTCGAGTGTAATTAGTTAATTAATTGATTCATTGTCTTAACATCTTGATTATTTTAGTCATTAAATGAGATATGCTTGCAATATCTGATCATGTCTTTTATATTTAAATCAAATACATATTGCATGAAAATTGATTTAAAAAACAAAATGGTAAGGGTGCTTACATAACTGGTACTTATATAACTCTAGCTGGTAAAAAAAGAAATAAAACAATTTATCAGTTTCCTGTAAAATAACACTATGTTCAATGTATATTTTATTATTTTTATTATAACAGTACAAATTAACAGTGTGCAAATCGATATTTTGTTGTATGCATGCTGGATTACAAAAGAAGCTCATACCTGATGACAGTGATGAAAATTGCAATCTACTTTAGTGCATTCTCACTACTTTTGGATTACTTTAGAATATTTTTGTTCTAATTTGTTTAAATTAGAATAAAATACCCCCACCCCCACCCCCCTGAAATATTATCCCCCCTGCTTAAGGGAGAGCTGATTTTTCAACACATTTCTAAACATAATCGTTTTAAAAACTCATTTCTAATAACTCATTTATTTTATCTTTGCCATGATGACAGTACATAATATTTTAGATATTTTCAAGACTATACAGCTTAAAGTGACATTTAAAGGCTTTACTAGGTTAATTAGGGTAACTAGGCAGGTTAGGGTAATTAGGCAAGTTATTGTATAATGATTATTTGTTTTGTAGCCTATCGAAAAATATTTAGCTTAAAGTGTCTAATAATATGGACCTTAAAATGGCTTTTGAAAATTAAAAACTGCTTTTACTGCCAAAATATAACAAATAAGATTTTCTCCCGAAGAAAAAAATATTATCAGACAAACTGTGAAAATTTCTTTGCTCTGTTAAACATCATTTGGGGAAATATTTTAAAAAGAAGAAAACATTCAAGGAGGGGCTAATAATTCTGACTTCAACTGTATATAATTTTTTGTCATCAACACAAAAATTAAATTATAAAATGAATTAAACATTACATCTGAGTTTTTTGAAACTGATGTAAAAGAATTGCAAGTCTTTTATGAGCTGATGAAAAGCAAATGATTGACAGCTTCATGAAGAGTGTTTAATTAAAAGTATTACAAATAGGCTACATTCATTCATTCATTTTCTTCTCGGCTTAGTACATTTATTAATCTGGGGTCGCTAAAGCGGAATGAATAGCCAACTTATCCAGCACATGTTTTACACAGCAAATGCCCTTCCAGCTGCAACCTATCTCTGGAAAACATCCATACACACTCATACACTATGGACAATTTAGCCTACCTAATTCACCTGTACAGCATGTCTTTGGACTGTGGGGGGAAACCGGAGCACCTAGAGGAAACCCACGCGAATGTGGGGAGAACATGCAAACTCCACACAGAAACGCCAACTGACCAAGCCAAGGCTCGAACCAGTGACCTTCTTGCTGTGAGGCAACAGCACTACCTACTGCGCCACTGTCGCCACAAATAGGCTACAATTGAAATGAATAATAAAAACAAAAATTAGGGCTGCACAGAGGCTTAGTGGATATCACTGTCACGTCACAGAAAGAAGGTCACTGGTTCAAGTTCCGGCTGGGTCAGTTGGCATTTCCATATGGAGCTTTTGTGTTCTCTCTGTTCGTGTGGGTTTCCTCCGGGTGCTCCGGTTTCCCCCACAGTTCAAAAACATGCAGTATAGGTGAATTTGAGTTTCCCAGTACTGGTTTGCAACTGGAAGGGCATCCGCTGCGTAAAACATATGCTGGAATAGTTGGCGGTTCATTCCACTGTGGCGACCCCTGATAAATAAGGGACTGATCCTAAGGGAAATGAATGAATGAATAAATTAATGAATGACTTAAAACAAAATCAGACACTTGAACTTCTGAATTTTTTTATAATTTCAGGGTAAGTTGTTTTACTGACTAAAATGTTTGGGAATCCCAGCATCACACAAACAAACATTAACAAAAATGAAAACAAAAATGACATGGTCCAAAGAAAAAGGGTATTCCTTTAGAAATGAAAATATAAAAGAGAAAAAAATGAAGTATTACAGAGAACAAATGAATTTTAAATAATATATGCATTTTAAATGTAAATTATCTGCATTTTTGGAACCTTATATTCTAGATTAGATGTAATAATTTACAATTTACCACTGGTCTCATTGGATGCATTTGTCCCCTAAATGTTATAATGTGGTGTACTTTCTTTTTTTCAACAGAATGGCAACACAGTGGCTACATTAACTGAAGAGTTAGAGGATGTTTCTCCCCAAGAGCAAAAACTATATTATCACAAAGAACCAAGCAAAGACAAATGCACCATGCCATGTGAAATGACTGCAAAGCTAATGCGTGATGAGAAACACTCCTTGTGCAGTTGGTGTTTGCATGTTTTTAATAAGTTACAGATTCTGCTTGTACTTCTGCTTAATAATCCGTAGATTTGACCCGTTCTGTTCTCTATACAACTCCTAGCAAACCTCCAGCATACCATGGTGTCATATACAAGAAACACAAGGAAGCTGATTAGAGATCTCATTGAGGAACAGCAGAAGGCTTTGGAATTCCTATCAAGCCAGGTGAAGAAATACTGTAAAATATTCCAAACTTTCAAACCAGTTTTACTTCTGCAGTCTAAACATTTCAATTTGATTAGATAATTGATCTCATGGCCAAAGTGAATACGCTCAGTTCAGATGTGCAGAGAAGCAACAGTGACATCTTTTCTGTAAAGCCCATGGAGTCCCACGGTAAGATGATTAACATGCTGCCAAACGTTCCTCAAAATGTTTATTATCTTAGTGAATTCCCTCTCGTTTCACAGGGAAAGACTGCAGTGACATAAAAGAAACACTAGGTGCCGTTTCCCCAAAAATCCCAAGTGGAATTTACATAATTCAGCCAGAAAACACAGATGTTTCGTTTGAGGAAAGTACCTCCTTTTATTTTGTTTAGAAATTTCCAACCACGGTTATTTTAATCTAACAGCAAATTACAGATGAAAAATGAAGTGTGTTGAACTGGCTGTTTAATAGGTGTTTTGTGAGATGGACGACATGGAGGGAGGATGGACAGTGATACAAAGGCGGACAGACGGTCTCACTGACTTTAAACGAATGTGGTCACAGTACTTGGATGGATTTGGACACTTACCAGGTGCAGTATCCAAAATCAATAGGTCAAAGGTTCTACGATGGACCCTTTTCACATTTCTGGATTTCTCAGTAGAGGAAGTCTTCATAGTTGGATAAACTTGAGTAAAGCGCAGTGAATGGCAGAGTACAACAAACAATTCTATTAGCTAAAATAATAAAAGAAAAACTCCATGAAGGCATTATCAAGACTTGCAGAAAAAGAATAGCGTGAGACCGACGGCAGCCAGAAAAATTTCAAATTTACTGTTCTGCCTCATAGACTCAGCATTAGAAACACCTCATGTAAGTGGTAATTCGATTTTTGTAATTTGATGCATCAAATCACCTCCATTGTCACTTCTAGGCTCTCATTTCCAGGAGCCTATTCTGCTCTGATTGGTCAGATGGCCCAGTCTGTTGTGATTGGTTAAAACACTGATTACGCATTAAGATTTTTAACTTTCAAAGTTTTTTTTTAGTTCACAGTTAGGGTGCTTTTATGCTTGGTTCAATTGCCTGGACTGTACCCAAGTTCGATTGTCCCCCTTGTCACATTTTCGGTTGGTTTGTGTTCACATTGTCTTTTTTCCTTCCGAACCCCGGAAAACTTGTGTCATCAAGCTACTGTTGTGTGTACGGCTGTTGCTAGGTGACTTACACTAGAGCAATTTGCCAAAATGAAAAGACATACGCACAACAGCTTTTACTGATTCTTTTGATTTTGGACATAAAGAAAGTGACTCGCGTCCATCTGCTGTAATAATATTAT